CCCAGTTGTTCTACGACATCATAGTCGTTTTTCTTAATTATTTTTAAAATCTCCTCCATCTCCTTTTGAGTGGTCTCAGGAATGATCAAAGGCTGAGCCCTCGTCCTGACGGGCGCTTCTTGGATCCCCTTACCTTTATCAGCAGTAACGGCAGAGGGTACAACTTCGGGAGTAACAATTTCTTCAATAACTGGACTTCGCACAGATATCTTGACTGGCACAGGAGTAACCTTAGGAGCATTTGGGGGTCCGAAGATTGCCCTTGGAGGAGAAATCTCCGGAGAGAAGATTCTTCCGCTGCGGGTGATCTTACTTGTCCCTGCAATATTTCCTATGTCAGGAGTTTCTTCATTGGAATTCTCTTCCACTGATTCAATCTGCTTAACACCGTGGTAGAAGATCTCTCCTCCGTAATTCCACGGTATTGTCTTGTTGGACTTGTATGGGATAGGCCCCGACATTGTTATCTTCAGAGGTACAAACTTTGGATCGGGTGTAATCTTAACAGGTCTTTTGGAGACCTTGGAAATATTGTCGGAAATGGTAATTATAGCAACATCGTTGATTGGAGTAACAGGAGTAACAGGAGTTTTCTCAAAGAGGATTTCTTGATTATCCATTAGGCGTTGGATGCCTAACTTCAATAACAGACAGTCGGATTATATGGACGAACAATGGTAACAATCTTTTTCACAGCCCTGGAAAATCTTGACTTTCAACAGATTCATCTTGATCATTGGCAACGGAGTCATTAAGTCATCAACAACAATAACATAAAGATCTTCTTCAATATCATGGACATTATGACCATGTTTTGGCATTGGAGTGGATATCACATTAGGTTTCTCATGGGCGTCAAACTCCACCTCTTTGGCATCTATTAAATCCTGGATCTTGTTTTTGAGGGCCCAACAGTTGTTGGTGTCGTGCCCTATGCCGTCTGAATGATAAGCGCATTTAGCGTTGGCATGGTAAAAAGGAGAAGTTGTATTCGGATTTTGTGCTGGCTCTCTCAAGGTTGTAAGGTTTAACTTCAAGAGATGGGGGAGAACCTGGGCAGGTGTCATGTTTATTTTGGTGAATTGCCTAGCAGGCCTTCCCCCTCTTGGTTGGTTGGTCCTGGGTTGATCGTTTCTAGGCTGATCAGCCGCAGACTTTTGAATCATTACAGCCCCCACCCCTGGTTGGCGCTCCACTCTTCCTCGACCCCTCTGAGAGTAAACAACTGACACCTCTTTCTTGGCTGGAAAAGGTTTTTTGACGGCAGCAGAAGCAGACGTATCTTTTTGAATTTTACCGCTCTTGATGCCAGCTTCGACTCTTTCTCCAGTCAAAATTAATTCGGTGAACCCCGCTGATGAACTCCCTATCAGGTGATTAAAGAATGGTCCTGACAGTGTCCCAAAAAACATATCAACAAGCTCTCTTTCAGACAATGGTGGCTGCACCCTTCCAGCCAAGTCCCTCCACTTCTGGGCATACTCCTTAAAGCCTTCATTAGAGACCATACCCATAATCTGTAGTTGAGTACGAGTAGGTGCTAAGTCTTCATTATGTTGATATTGTCTGTAGAAGGCAGCATCCAGGTCCTCCCAATTATGCACATCAGATCTTTCAAGCTGGTAAAACCAATCTAATTGCGTCCCCGAAAGACTATCTTGAAAAAAGTGGACCCACAGATCCTTATCAGAAGAATGAGGTTGGATCTTTCTGACGTAAGACCGTAGGTGCATCTTCGGACAAGACAAACCATCGTATTTAGCAAATGTAGGCACCTTGAATTTAGGGGGAATCACAATCCCAGCAACCAACCATACCTCCTCGAAATCCAGCCCAGGCACCCTTTATACCTCCATAGGTGCCAGACGCTCTTCCAGATTCTTGTACTTGTCGTCTGCAAGAGGGTACTACTGCTCAAAGTAATCTTCATCCTCTTCTTCTTCTTCTTCTTCAGACTCGGAGGGCACTGCAACTCCCTTTCCTTTACCTATCCCTTCATCAGATGTTGAGGGGAAATCCATGACCCTTCTAGCCTGATTCTCAAATCTTCTTCCCAGAGTAGCCACACCAACTCTTTTCTTTTTCTTTTTCTCTTTTTCCTTCTCCTTCTCTAACAGGGCTTTAAGATCCTCTTGACCCTTTGCCAAGGTCATGAGGAGTTGTTGGAACTGTGAATTCTGCGCTTGTAGATCTTTGACCGTCTGCTCTATATCCATCTTGCTGAAATAAACAACAGAGAGATAAGAAAACCTGGTATGAAGACCTGTTTATGCATATGATGAATGATATGTATTCATGTAATGCATTCAAGGATTCATAAATTCAAAGTTGTTATAAACAAAAAAGAACACACGTCATATTAATAAGATAGAATTTGTTAGTACAGAAATGCCCCATGGGCAAAATAAATACAAAATTCTAATGTAAAAAGACGTTGCGCATCCCCTTTGGTGCGATGTAGGTGTTGAGAGTATACTCTTTATGGAGTCGACGAGTAAGTTCCAAAACCTTCTTCTCACTAGCGTAGAAGCTGGCTTCAAAAGTATTTCGTTCTTCCTTGAGCTGTATCCAACTCTTTTGCAAATCTTCCAATGATGTTGGCATGTCAGGATGTAGGAGGATGTATGGAACCTCTCCTTCCCTAACAGGATCTTTGATCACAGGCAGAATGTAGGGGTAAGGCATCATAAGACTCTGGGTCTGGGTTCGTACCCACTTGAGGTAAGGCTCAAGTGGGATGGAATTCTTGTGTCCCAGTGTCTTACTGTCCACTTTGTTGGGCATCCTCCAAGCTCGGATAAACCTTTGTCGAAGTCCTTGAGCGTCATTGTCGAAGTCAAAAACCAAGTCCGGAATCAGCATGTCATGAGGTCCATCCCTTCGGGAATACCCAAACTGTCTCAGAGCCAAACAGGGGTTGTAGGTAATGCCTCCCCTAATGCCAAGTAATGGGACATTAGAGAATTCCCCACAATGATCAATGATGATGACATTTTCTCTGGACCGAGAACACCAATGAACATCGGGATGTGTAAGAGTCATCAACCGTTGTGACCACCTCAAGCCTTGTTCATTCTTCAAGACTGACTGGGGAAGGTGAGAAATAAACCACCTTTCTAGAAGAGGAGTACAGCAGATGAGAACACCTCTTTTCCTCATTGTTCGTGTGTAAAATGAGTGTAGGATGTCCCCAAGCAATGTAGGCACGGGATTCCGAGATATGAAAATCTTGACAGCATTCACATCTATAAGCTGATCAGGGTTTGTGAACAAGACCAACCCATAGATGAGTAGTGCAACAATCTCCTCAAAAGCTTGTAGATCTAGAGAATTCCAACAGACTTGTGCCTTCTCAAACAGAAACTTTGCCAAGAAACCCTTGACACCACTTCTGATTTCCCAATGACCTTTGATATCAGATGGTTGCAAGTGTAAGGCTTGAGCAACATCTTCAGGCTTTGGCTCTCTTTCCGTACCGTTGTAGGGTAGTTGATGGAGAATAGGAATTCTCAGGAGTTGAGAAAATTCCTCCAAAGTAGGCACTAGTTGGTAATCAGGAAATATAAAGCAATGGTGTAGGGGGACAAATTATCATAAGTATCTTCTTCTACCTGCTCCTAATAATCTTCAACATCAGTTTTGAACGCAACTAAGAAAATATGTAAACAAAGAACACTATTTACAAACAAAGCACACCCGTGTAATAGAAAGTTATGGTTTCATAAGTTAAAGAAATCGACAAAATATATAGCATTAATGAAATATAAAATGAAAAAAATTATAGAAATCAATTATATTAAAGAAAAATAACATAGAAAGATAGAATATATTTTTAGGGTTTGAGTGGTTGAAGAAATAGAGTTGGACGATGAAAAAGGATAGAAAATAATATCATTACCTAAATGATCTAAAGAAAGATTGAAATGATTGATAGTAAACAATGAAGTATTGGGTACAATGAGTGATTGAAGAAAATAGGGATGAGTATGAAGAGAAGAGAAATATGACGAATTTTAATTTTGTCTGTTATGTAAGATAGGATAAAAGAAAAGAAGCAATTGTACAATATTTAGTATTTGATTGATTTGACATAAATATAGTTTGATTAAAATAATAAATGAAGAAACAAAATCAAATTTATTTGGAATAGTGCATAGTGGTAATTGAAGCTGAACTTATTCGAGAAAAATGAGAATATGTACTTCAATTCCAACTTAAGAGTACAATTGGTTGGAAAAATAAATGGTTAGACCAATTTTAACTCAAAAATCAAGATGTAGCATAATTAGAAGAATAGGAAGATATGATATTTCAATAACCATTAACTTTCTTATAATAGTAGATTAAAATTGAACATAATATTTTTATATTTTACTTCCTTCGTTTCAAAATAATTGTGTTTAAAGTTGTTACACAGAGATTAAAAAAAATAATGATAAAATTAAAAAGAATATATATAAGGAGTAAAATTGATAAAAGTTAACTATTCAATGAATTAATATTTATTTATAATTGTAGAAGGAGTAGTAAGTAATTTAGTTAGTTGTGTAGAAGGGAAGAAATAATGTTTTCTTGGTCAAAGAAATGGTGACAGAAAATAACCTATTTCATGCCACGTGGTCATAACTCTGGTCTATCCCTTATGCCAAATTTTCGTCCAAGTTCATTTTCACTCAAAAAATTTCTCTTAGAAACGCTCACAACTCTTAATTACCATCAAATTCTGATTTGATCACTATAAAGCTCTTTTGCACTCACTCTACATCGAAATTGAAGTCAATTAATGGCAACAACAGCTACGCCGATCGAGAAATCCGAGGAAGAATGGAGAAAATTCTTTCCCCCGAGCAATTTCGCATCCTCCGCCAGAAAGGAACTGAGTAATAATTTCTCTATTTCTTCTCTTTGTATCATAATATTGTAACTGTCAATTTCAATTTAAGACTTGAAATTTTTATCATTGTGCAGATTGAAGGGTACCAAAGAGTATAACAAATTTTATGAAGAAGGGATTTACAATTGTGCTGCCTGTGGAACTCCGCTTTACAAGTCTACCACCAAATTTGATTCTGGTTGTGGTTGGCCTGCTTTCTTCGAGGGTTTTCCTGGATCCATCAATCGGTTTGTAAGTGTTCAAAATTGACACTGATACTTTTGATTACTTTTAATTCATTTATTTATTGATTTGGGGTATGTGTTGGATCATAAAAATGTGTAGTTGAATATTTGGAATTGAATTGTTATAATGGAAGTTAATTTGGAATTTTCAACCTGATCCAGATGGTAGAAAGACTGAGATAACTTGTACAGCATGTGGTGGACATTTAGGTCATGTATTCAAGGGAGAAGGGTTCAAGGTTCCAACGGATGAACGCCATTTTGTCAATAGTGTTTCTGTCAAGTTCATTCTTGGAAATGATGCTTCTTCCATATGAAATTGTAGTAGGTGTTAAAAGTGAAATAATGTCTTGCTTGCAGTATTTCTTGGTGGGTACAAAACAGCTATGGTTATAAGCTTGAACCACTGAGTATAGTTTGGACTGAAATTAAAAAAATCCTTTTCTTTTCTTTATATTCACTCTTTTATCATGGCTTTCTATCGGATAAATCGAGAACTACTTTGTTTAGTAGGATTGATAGGTCTGTGCAACACTAAAGTGACATATAACATGTTTTTCCTCCTTCCTCTTCTGCCTGGATATGCCATCTGAGTAATCAAAATGACATGGAGTCTCCAATAAAAATTTGTTTGGACATGCATCTCACCACTTCTTAAAATACTAGACATGGAAACAACACATAAAATCATTAGTGAATAAAATTAAAATTGGCTAGATTCAAAATAATTATTAAAATACTAAGCGTGATGGAGGTTGGATCGGATGATCCATGATCTGTCAAGTTTACAAGTAGCTTCTGGGTTCAATTACTAGGACTCAACTAAATGTATCCTAGTCCATCGTTTCTCAAGCATGCATTCTTCAAGCATGAAGCTTGAGAAAGACAAAGTGATTTAAGTTAGGTAGATGACGTTCTCTTTTTGAAGAAGTGAGCCCCTCTAGTGCAACTTAGGCCTTGGAGGGTGCCTCTCAAGCCAAGTCCTTAAGTACAACTTAGAGGGTGTCTCTCAAGCATAACTTCGGAAAATATGCTTTGGCCAAGTCCCTAAAGCGCCACCTGTGAAAAGCACGCATGGCATTTGATGCTTCGATATGATGAGTTTTGTTTCAGAATGACACATGCATTATAGGCCATTGATTAATTTGCACGCGTCTAATTTGGCTTATAAATATCCTACCACTTACACAAGTAGGCTTGTAAATATCCGACTTCGACAATGACACTTACTCAAATTAGACTCTTGACCTTATAAATAGAGGAATAACAACCATTTTTCTTACTCAGCATACACATTTTGCATCCTTTCAGTCTTCTCATAATCTTGCCAATCCTTTTTACAAGTAAAATAATAGAGTTAGACAAATTATCATAAGTATCCTCTTATACCTACTCCTTATCATCTTCAACATCAGTTTTGAACGCAACTAAGAAAATATGTAAAGAAAGAACACTATTTACAAACAAAGCACACCCCTGTAATAGAAAGTAATGGTTTCGTAAGTGTTTACAGTGATTTATGGTAAACAATCGCTAGTCCTCCAAACTATCGAATAAACTTACTGACTGTTATTCAATTCCTCTGGTAACTCGCAGGATCGACTAGATTGATCCTAGGACGTGTTGGTCATTAGGGTAACTCTCATGATCGAACAGGTATTCATGGTTGGTATTTAGAATGTTGTGTAGGTGTTTAACTTATTTCGATTTCTCTATTAAGGATCTAAAGGTGTAATCAAAATAAATGTGCGCGAAACTAAATTGCATGAATAAAGGTCAATTGTAAAGACATGTAAAAACTGCATAAAAGACAAATAAATGGCTTCGAATCGTAAAGAAAGCAGTTAATATAAAAGATTCGAAATGTGAAGAAAGCGTTTAATGCAAGAAAACTGTAAAATGGCTTTAAGTAAAAGGGTGTTCAAAGGATAAAAATTTGAAGAAAAAGGCTTGAAATGTATAACAGTTTCTGAAATGTAAAGTATTTGAAATGGAAGGAAAGCATTTAAATGTAAGGCATCAGTGAAAAGATTTCGAATAAAAAGACTTTAGATGCAAAAAACTTGTAAATGGTATTGATATAAAGATAAAGGAAAATACTGGAATTGATAAAGAGTTTTCATTAAATCATAAACATGTGGTGTTATCATACGTACATTGCTCTTGCATTCGTTTCCCTAGCCATGTGGTAATTTGAATGTTTACTGAGTTTTCTTGTACAATAGATATGACACACGAAATCCTAATGCTAAGACTTCTATTTATACTACTTCGACCATAAAGATCTTGCTATAAGATTCTGCCACATTTAGAACATGCAGAGCAATGCCTCTCTCTTGCTTCCACGCGTCTTCGAATGCTCCAGCGCATATATTTCAAATTTCGAACATCCCGCTTGCATTTGATTTTCAAATGTTTTGGCATTTCTTCGCTTCGAACGCATTTCCTAGACACAACCTTGTTATCATTTCGAGACTTCTTTGGATATATTCTCATAACTGTCACTCGAAGCTCCAAGCTTTGATATGCTCATTCGAAACATTGCTTCTACTATTTCGAAACATGATGTTTTGTTTCATTTCGATCGAAACGTCCAATTTACTTTGCTTCTAATAATATTATCAAAATCTTCAGCCAACAAAATGCCCCTTTAAAATATGTATTTCGATTCCTTTGAGAAATACTTATTTTAAACATATACACAAGATTTTGATGCGACCTTCGAATCATCGTAACATTTATTGCATTTGACTCCAGTCACGTCAATCATAACACTTTTTAGATTCCTTAACCTCCTTGAACTACTTCACAGTATGGTGCAGTTACAAAACAATGATTATCTTTAATCACGCCTATTACTAATGTTAACTTTACGCCACCTCTTCATCAAACCAACCCATGATTACCACGTATCACAACCTTATTCAGTGGATGCTTAAACTTCCACATTATAAAAACCCATCAACTTAGTCTTTTTCTTTTCTTTCCACATTCTGAATCTTTTCTCCTTATTTTCTCACCGAAACCCTAAGCTTTCAACATTCTTCCAACAATGTCTTCTTCTACTTCATACCAACTAAAAAAGGTTTCCAAAAAGAAAGGAAAGACCGCAGGAACTACAATGGAAAGCAAGGTTGTCACTCACCAAGGTCAATCTGTTCTTGTTCCCCAGATGAACTCAAAAGAGAAAGAAATGCTTTATGCATCCCAGGTACTTATTCCTACCACCGCTGCTGGTAAGAGGTTAGCTTTAATGGGCCCTCTTGCAGTTTTTGAAATTTTAAAAGACACCAGGAAAATTTTCCCAGTTTGCTATAATTTCAAACCCCTGTTTAATAAAATGGACGCCTCTAAGGCAATAGAATCTTCTGGCTCAAACACCGTGGAAAATCCAATTGTTCCTCCTAAGGACCCTTTTGTATTAGACTATGTAAAGAGTAACTTCAAACCGTTTCGATCTTGCCCCACCTCCGACACTGCTTATCAAAATTGGTTCAATAAGGTAGAAGCTAAGAAATCCCAGCAATGGGAAGTGTGATCGGTGGATTTAGAACTGACTGTTTAACGCTGGTTCGCGAAATATCGTGGTAAGCAAGAGTCGCCACCATCTTTTATGTTCTCCAACATGGAAAGGACAAAAGCACAACAAAATTCCTTATTGAGAATGTTTCTCGGTTCGGGAGGTAGATTTATAGAAAGGGAAGGTGTTAGCACCCTTTCTATCCATGGTTATCCATGGGATCTTATATACTTGCTCATTTGTGTTTTCAAAAGTGTTTGTTTGCTTTTCAATCGTAAGTGGGTTTGAAAAAGTTTCGTTGAAAGTTTCAGATCGACTCTTGTATCAGTCCTCAAGAGTGTTTGAAAAATTGTTTTCGAAAGCTTTTTGAAAAGTGTCGGGGTGAAAAGAAGTTTTGATTTGTTTTGAATTAGAGCAAGTATCTACGAGTCATCTACCTACCCTAAGGAATCAGGCTGTGCAAATGTCCTTAAGGTAGTGTCATCCCACCATTGAGAGGTAGGTAGCACCACCGTTGGAGGTGTTCGGGTCAATTCGAGTTTAGGGACAGTGTGATCACCAAAGCAACAGTAGGACACCTTAGAAGCTACCCTTATGCCATGTTCATGGACATAAGGACTTACTAAAATGTCCTATACTCGACGACCACGTTTCGAGGGGCAAGGCAACAGTGAGGCGTACCCTAAGAGTGGTGTGTGAATTTGTGTATTGTTTTCAGTTATGTTTTATCTTGTCATGCATCGGGTGAGCTACGCTTTAATTTTATTTGGGCCATTCATTCTTTCATGTGATTAGCAGTTTAAAGGGTGCGGAAATTAAAGTGCGGAAAATAAAGGTCCTACGCTATTACAAGGCGCGGGTCTATACATCGCCAAATTAACAAAGACCTGTTTTTTTGAATAAAATGCAGAAAGTAAATTTCCTAATTACTATTATAAAGCTTTGAACAATTACATAATATTTGAAACAAAAAAAAATAAGGACAAACGCGCGAAAAGAAATTGAAATCGAATACGCGAGGGCGTTGGACCCTTTAAAGAAGTTAAATGAAATTAAAACTTAATTAATTATTCAATAAAGAAAAGAAGTTATTTTTTATGTTTTTTTGTATTTAATGGAGATAAAGAGAATTAATTAAAATTAGAAATTAAATAAAACCCTAGTTCTAAATTGTTTTTAGTTATTAAAGAAAATATTTAAGTTTTGACCTAATTTATACTAATTATTTAATGACATGTTTATTTACAAAATAATTAATAGTTAATAATAATAAGAATAAGAAGAAATTATTTTATTAAGAAAAAAGAAAAAAAATGCTAAAAACCTAATTTCTACATATTTTAGTTATTAAGAAAACATTAAAATTGAAAACCTAAAATTAAACTAAATTGATTATTAGAATTTATTTACAAAAACTATTAAGGAATTAAAAATTAAATAAGCATATTTTATTTTTTTATTTCTGATTTTTATTTTATTATGAAAATTAATTTTTGTGAATTAGATAAAATAATTAAAAGAATTTAAGAGAGAAAATCAAATAAAAATAAGTGAGAAAAAATGGGCAAACCATGGGGTATTCAGACCCAATTTTGGAGGTGTGTTTGAGAAATTTGGCCCAAGAGATCTGGCCCTTTTTGACTTTCTGGAATTGTGTATGGATCCTTGGACTAGTGCGTATGGTAGGCTGCACATGCTGGCCTTTGGATTGATCATGAAGCCACTTGTCAAGCCTGGGTGTTGGGATGCATGATGGTCTTTTGAGAGAGGCGCTACGCTGAAACATGTTAATGAAAA